CGTTTGTACGTGTATGTTTGGGGGTCTGAAATGGACTAATCGACTTCACAATATTCCTTATGGGAACAAATTCGGTCAGTACTGGCACCTGAACATACTTCTGGAATGAAAAAATATCGTTAACCCTGTGAGGGTCGACAGGCCCTCTCCGAAACTCGTTCTCAGGGTCGGCCAAATTTAAAAAAAAAAAAAATTATTTTCTCTTATGAAAAGATAAAGAATCTTTTCCCGATCATAAAGACACCAAAAGTTTGAAATTTGATAGAAAACTTACGGAACTATGCTCTCGCAAAGTTAGCGGTCTCGGCGATGTTTACGCATCGGCGATTTTGCCCACTTTGAGCCCCATATTCGGCCAATTTCACTGTACTAGTCGACAAAAAACATGAATATTTCGCTAGAACTCCATTTTTTCTATCGAATGGGTGCAAGAAACCACTCATTTATGAAATTCAACTATCCAGTACAGTGGTCAGAATTTAGCAATTTTGCCAATTTCACACAAATTTCAAAAGATGCCAATTTCCGAATAGGGTCCAGAATAAACAAGAAAGACATTCCTGGCACTAAAATGACATTTCCTCTAGTCATTAGTCACGTCTCAAGGCCCCTCTTATATTCTTTTGCTTTCCACTTTGAATTTTTATTTTCACAAAAAATATAAGATTTACTGTTATGCAGACTACTGCATTAGTGTAAAAAATGGTATAAATATTATTGGTGCACTTGTGAAAGAATATTAGACTCACCAGTTGACGTGTATTGCACGCTTGGCACGATTTGTTTACTTTTGAAGTTTGGTAAAAATCGAACATTTCTGCTACTTTGAGCTCAATTTCAAGGCACCTTTCTTTGTAAAACCAGTCAAAATCATCTCAATTTCTGTAATATGTTCTTCCATTCTATAAAATGAGACCAAGAAAACTAGAATACAACAATAAATACCATACGAAAATACACTGCAAAGTCGCTGATTTATTAAAAAAAATGGTCAAAGTTTTTTTTTTCTCATTATGCACTGTGTGCTGCAGGATTTTTTTTAGACTGTGCACACTGACCACATAGACCCATTCTTTCATATGAAGGCCTACCAGCTTTCTCCCACTAGATTTGAGGCCGCTAGAATTTATGAGTACTAGTACGTCAAAAAACCCTACGCGTAAGACGTACTAGTACGACGAAAACCCTCAAAGGGTTAACCGGGGGTCCACTGTATATATATAATCTTATGAAAATGTTAAGAGTAATTTTCCGATTGTTTTAAGCCCAAAAAAACTTTTTTGCGATCAGTACTTATCGAGTTATAGAGGTGTAAAGTTGGCAGAGAAATGAGCCATGTCTGGCAAAAGCGGCGAATGCCGCTCACCCGGTAAACTTTGGTTTACTTGCATTCCAAGGTTTCTTGTTTTTTCACTGTATTATTTTTCACATAACTTATGTGGCCTGTGAGTCCAAAGTAAGGTGCAATGTACATATATACACTCATTGTATACAACACAATCAGGTACGAACATAATTATCAATATATTGTTTACAAAACTTATTTACACAAACAAATACAAAAAATTGTTTGTTACTATTGTTTTATAATACAGTGGACCCTCACCATATGATGGCATCACCTTACGTTAAATCCACCATACGATACATTTTAACGCAAAAATTTTGCCTCACCTTGCGCTAAAGCACTCAGCTTACGCGATTCGTTTGAGACACATCCGTGTGGCCTGAGCACGCCTCAGCTGTCCCGTGGGTGCCAATGTTTACAAGCCAGCCAGTGCAGTCGCATCCACGCATACAATCGGAACATTTTATATTATCACAGCATTTTTAGTGATTGTACCTGCAAAATAAGTCACCATGGGCCCTAAGAAAGCTTCTAGTGCCAACTATGCAGTAAAAAAGGTGAATATTACTATGGAAATGAAGAAAGAGATAATTGCTAAGTACGAAAGTGGAGTGTCTCGGAGCTGGCCAGGTTGTACACCAAACCCCAATCAACCATTGCTACTATTGTGGCCAACAAAACAGCAATCAAGGAAGCTGTTCTTGCAAAAGGTGCAAGTTTGTTTTCGAAACAGAGATCCCAAGTACTCGAAGATGTTGAAAGACTGTTATTGGTGTGAATAAACAAAAAACAGATAGCAGGAGATACCATCTCTCAAGCGATCATATGTAAACAGGGTGGGAAATACGTACTATCGTACCACGGTCAGCTGCTGCTGCACCACGGTCAGCTGCTGCGGCTGCACCCCAGTCAGCTGTTGCTGAACCACGGTCTGCTGCTGTTGCACCACGGTCAGCTGCTGCTGCACCACAGTCAGCTTCTGCTACACCACCATCAGCTGTTGCTGCACCAGTCAGCTGTTGCTGAACCAGTCAGCTGTTGCTGACTGCACGGTGAGCTGCTGCTGCACCACGATCAGCTGCTGCTGCACCACGGTCAGCTGCTGCTGCACCACAGTCAGCTGCTGCTACACCACCATCAGCTGTTGCTGCACCAGTCAGCTGTTGCTGAACCACGGTGAGCTGCTGTTGCACCACGGTCAGCTGCTGCTGCACCACAGTCAGCTGCTGCTACACCACCGTCAACTGTTGCTGCACCACGGTCAGCTGCTGCTGCTGCACCAAAGTCAGCTGTTGCTGCACCACGGTCAGCTGGTCTTAGTGGCATTAAAAGAAGAAGGGTAGTAACCCCGGAAAAGGATGTGCTACCTAAAGTCCTAATGGAAGGGGATTCCCCTTCTAAACATTAACAACTTCCATACTCTCCCCTCCTCCCATCCCATCAATCATCACCAGATCTTCAATAAAGGTAAGTGTCAGTTTGTGTGTATTAAAATTAATATTTCATGTGGTAAAAAAATTTTTTTCATACATATGTACTTTGTGGTGTCTTGCACGGATTAATTTGATTTCCATTATTTCTTATGGGGAAAATTAATTCACCTTACGATAATTTCAGCATACGATGAGCTTTCAGGAATGGATTAATATCATATGGTGAGGGTCCACTGTATACAAATATACAGTCACTGGATATGTTCCTAGAAGTTCTGCAGCTTGTGGAACTCTTTGAAACATGGTTTCATACACAACGGTGTTTTACACTCACACATAAAACGAGTGTCTGCATTTTTGTGGGCGTTTTTTTTTTATGTGCAAAGACAAAACACCTCGTCTGAGCAGTTTTCTTTAAAGTATTAGCAGGCAGTTGTGTTAGGTAGTTATCCTAGGTAAATGGTCGTGTGTCATCATTCCTTCCTTCCTACATTCCTTTCTTACCTTCCTTCCTACATTCCTTTCCTACCTTCCTTCCTTTCATCTCATCCTTCCTTCTTTTCTGCCTTCCTTCCTTCTGGTTTCTATAATATATATACACATATATAGTCACTGGACACTTTCACATAACTGCTATTATCTTCAGCAAGCTTGTGTTGTGTGTGAGTGTGTGGACTTCTAATTGTTCTGAGTCAGGGTCCGACTGCTGTCAAAATAACATTTTGTCTCATTGCTCACTCCCCCTACCGCCTGTCAAAACAATGGGGTTGGATGCTGGCTTCCCCTCCATCTTACCATCTAATTATCCATCTCCCTCATTCTCTCTCTCAGTCTCCTTCATTCTTCTGGTATCCTGGGCATTGCTTTTGGTCACAAACTCCTCAAAACCATGAAATTGATCTTCACTGACACTTCCATCTGTGTTAGAGCATCACTTGGGAAGAGTAGAGTCCCAGATTTGCCAGGGAGTCACATATTTCTTACCACTAAGAATGCTGAACAAGGACTACTGAAATGGCATTCCCACAGTGCACCACTGGCTCCCCGATTTTTTTTTTATATGGTGCACACTGACCATGAAGACCCATTCTCTCACATGTGGGCCTACCAGCTATCTCCTGCTTGATTTGAAGCTGCTAGAATTTATGTTTATTAATACGTCAAACACGGTGGCTTGTAAGACATATATATACGACCGAAACAGTCAAAGGATTAAGCTAGGTGAGTGATCCCGGATGAGGACTTAGTACCCAGAGTCCTTATGGAGGGGGATTCCCCTTCCAAACAATAACCTCTCTTCCTTCCTCCCTGTCTTCCATCTTCCATCCATCAACAACAGCCTTCAATGAAGGTAAGTGTCATGTTGAATGTCCATTCTTTTGTGCCGATTGCTCTAGAATGGATTAAACACGAAAACCGAGGGTCTGCTGTATTCCACTTTATAGAAATAAATTTCCTTGTTTTACTAAGGTGAGTATACTAGGAGTGACTGGAGACCAAGAACATAGTTTTGAGAGTATTGTAACAACTTCATAAAGTATTGTATATTATAACAGATGAAACGTGATGAAAATGAACAAAGAAAAATAGGAAATAAAACCAAATCTGACAGTTTATTACTAATAAAATTTAAGCTTTCTAGTTTACTTATCATACATAACAAAACAAACTGTGCAGAGTATGTGAAAAACAAAAATGGAAACACTTAGAAGCACTTTTAAGAAAAGAATTAAGAGAATATTAAAAATTTCAGAAACGTTACCAAGGTCTCTCTTAAAATATATACTGTATAATTAAAACATTTAGTAGAGGCTAATAAATGATAAATGTTTTGGATATTGAACGGTACTGTTCTCTTACTGTCTATAACTTGAGCATAGATATTCGAACACCACATGTAGGCAGTCACCAACTTACAAACATCACAAGCAACACACCTACACTTGTGAATGTGGCATACACATCACGTAATGTTTTGCAAGCAGAGAGCAGCAGTGTGAGCATGAGTAGAACATAACTATACTGTTTTCTATACAAAAAACTTCCTAGTAAGAAGAAAAAAGTAATTTATACATTGGTAATCTCCTGCATTTACTATACATTTACACTGCACTACTATCTTAGCATATTTTAGTAACAATCCAAAACTATTGAAAACAACAGGCAAATTTTTAGAAAAATTCTTAAAGTAAGGATACAAGCATAGCAGAAGTTACTACCTGGCCCAGCCTGAAGCCCTGAAGGTTTACGGATGCGCGGAGACAAGGGGGAGGAGAAGGAAGATACCAAAGGGGCGGGAGAGGGAAGCAGGGGAGGTGACGGACGTCCTATCATACCTGCACACCCCAGCCGCAACCCTGAACCGGAGGGAGGCGAGTAGTGTACCAGGTTAGTGAGAATATACCCACATATATTGACACTAAAAGCATTTTCATGTTTGTAGTGTAGGAAAGCTCTTCTAAAACACAGGTGAAATAGAACCAAAACTTATTCTCAAAAAATCATATTGTAATAACAAAACTGTAGCATTTAATGTGAGAAATAAAACTCCAGCTGTCAATTTTTAGGGAAAATGTGTAAATAATTTGGTATTGAACTAGTCAGCTTATAATGTTATTATTAAAAATAATCTAATCATTAGTAAACAGCATGATACTGTATATAAATAACAAGGTATTTTGAATACAACTTTTAATGAGAGTAACACAATGGTGTTATTTCTCAGTGCAGATGAAGGTGTGTTAGATACTTCCAGCAGTGAACACTGAGGTGTTAACACCAGCAGTGAACACTGAGGTGTTAACACCACCAGTGAACACTGAGGTGTTAACACCAGCAGTGAACACTGAGGTGTTAACACCAGCAGTGAACACTGAGGTGTTAACACCACCAGTGAACACTGAGGTGTTAACACCAGCAGTGAACACTGAGGTGTTAACACCAGCAGTGAACACTGAGGTGTTAACACCAGCAGTGAACACTGAGGTGTTAACACCAGCAGTGAACACTGAGGTGTTAACACCAGCAGTGAAACACTGAGGTGTTAACACCAGCAGTGAACACTGAGGTGTTAACACCAGCAGTGAACACTGAGGTGTTAACACCAGCAGTGAACACTGAGGTGTTAACACCAGCAGTGAACACTGAGGTGTTAACACCAGCAGTGAACACTGAGGTGTTAACACCAGCAGTGAACACTGAGGTGTTAACACCCCAGTGAACACGGTGTAACACCCGTGAAACTGAGGTGTTAACACCAGCAGTGAACACTGAGGTGTTAACACCAGCAGTGAACACTGAGGTGTTAACACCAGCAGTGAACACTGAGGTGTTAACACCAGCAGTGAACACTGAGGTGTTAACACCAGCAGTGAACACTGAGGTGTTAACACCAGCAGTGAACACTGAGGTGTTAACACCACCAGTGAACACTGAGGTGTTAACACCAGCAGTGAACACTGAGGTGTTAACACCAGCAGTGAACACTGAGGTGTTAACACCAGCAGTGAACACTGAGGTGTTAACACCCAGTGAACACTGAGGTGTACACCACATGAACACTGAGTGTTACACAGCAGTGAACACTGAGGTGTTAACACCACCAGTGAACACTGAGGTGTTAACACACAGTGAACACTGAGGTGTTAACACCAGCATGAACAGAGGTGTTAACACCACCAGTGAACACTGAGGTGTTAACACCAGCAGTGAACACTGAGGTGTTAACACCAGCAGTGAACACTGAGGTGTTAACACCAGCAGTGAACACTGAGGTGTTAACACCAGCAGTGAACACTGAGGTGTTAACACCAGCAGTGAACACTGAGGTGTTAACACCAGCAGTGAACACTGAGGTGTTAACACCAGCAGTGAACACTGAGGTGTTAACACCACCAGTGAACACTGAGGTGTTAACACCACAGTGAACACTGAGGTGTTAACACCAGCAGTGAACACTGAGGTGTTAACACCAGCAGTGAACACTGAGGTGTTAACACCACCAGTGAAACACTGAGGTGTTAACACCAGCAGTGAACACTGAGGTGTTAACACCACCAGTGAACACTGAGGTGTTAACACCACCAGTAACCAGTACTTACATGAAGACCAATATATGAACCAAGACCAGACACACAGTGACCCCATGCTGTCCCCAGTAGTGACCCCATAATGTACCCAATACACTGTGACCTGTCCCTACTACACTGTGACCCCCATGCTGTTCCTAGTGCACAGTGACCCTGTACTGTCCCCAGTACATGGTGACCTGTCCCCAGTATACTGTGATCCCATGCTGTCCCCAGTACATGGTGACCTGTCCCCAGTATACTGTGATCCCATGCTGTCCCCAGTACATGGTGACCTGTCCCCAGTATACTGTGATCCCATGCTGTCCCCAGTACACTGTGACCCCATGCTGTCCCCAGTACACAGTGACCCCATACTGTACCCAATACACTGTGACCTGTCCCAAGTACACTGTGACCCCATATCCCCAGTACACTGTGACCTGTCCCCAGTACACTGTGATCCCATACTGTACCCAGTACACTGTGACCCCATGCTGTCCCCAGTACACAGTGACCCTATACTGTACCCAATACACTGTGACCTGTCCCCAGTACACTGTGACCCCATGCTGTCCCAAGTACACTGCGACCCCATGCTGTCCCCAGTACACAGTGACCCCATACTGTACCCAATACACTGTGACCTGTCCCCAGTACACTGTGACCCATATCCCCAGTACACTGTGACCTGTCCCCAATACACTGATCCCATATTCCCAGCACACTGTGACCCCATACTGTACCCAGTACACTGTGACCCCATGCTGTCCCCAGTACACAGTGACCCCATATCCCCAGTACACTGTGAGCCCATGCTGTCCCCAGTACACTGTGAGCCCATGCTGTCCCCAGTAGACTGTGACCTCATACTGCACCCAGTAAACTGTGATCCCATATCCCCAGTACATTTTGATCCCATATCCCCAGTACACTGTGATCCTTTACCCCCAAGACACTGACTCCATGCTGTACCTAGTACACTGTAACTATGCTGTCCTCAGTACAGTGACCCCATTCTGTCCCCCGTATACTGTGACCCCATACTGTACTCAGTACAATGTGATCCCATATCCCCAGCACACTGTGACCCCATGCTGACCTCAGTACACTGTGACCTCATACTGTACTCAGTACACTGTGACCTATCCCCAGTACACTGTGACCCCATGCTGTACCTAGTACACTGTGACTATGCTGTCCTCAGTAGTGACCCCATGCTGTGCCTAGTGCACTGTGACCCCATGCTGTCCCAGTACATTGTGACCCCATGCTGTCCCCAGTACCTTGTGATCCTATGCTATCCCCAGTACACTGTGATCCTGTGCTGTCTCCAATACACTGTGACTCCATGCTGTCCGCAGTAGACTGTGACCCTATGCTATCCTCAGTACACTGTGACCCCATGTCCCCAGTACAGTGTGGCCCCATACTGTCCCTGGTACAGTGTGACCCCATGCTGTCCCCAGTGCAGTGTGACCCCATGCTGTCCCCAGTAGTGTGAGCTCATGCTTTCTCTAGTACACTGTGATCCCATGTCCCTAGTACAGTGACCCCATGCTATCCCCAGTACACTGCAACCCCATGCTGTCCCCAGTACAGTGTGGCCCCATGCTGTCCCCAGTACACTGTGACCCCATGCTGTCCCCAGTACAGTGTGGCCCCATGCTGTCCCCAGTACACTGTGACCCCATGCTGTCCCCAGTACACTGTGACCCCATGCTGTCCCCAGTACACTGTGACCCCATGCTGTCCCCAGTACAGTGTGGCCCCATGCTGTCCCCAGTACACTGTGACCCCATGCTGTCCCCAGTACACTGTGACCCCATGCTGTCCCCAGTACACTGTGACCCCATGCTGTCCCCAGTACACAACTTATTAAAGTAAAAGCAGCTACAATACAATCAACAAGTATAAGAGTAACGGTTAACCCTTTCAAGGTCCCCAGGCCCTCTCCCAGACTTGTTCTCAGGGTCCCCAGGCCCTCTCCCAGACTTGTTCTCAGGGTCCCCAGGCCCTCTCCCAGACTTGTTCTCAGGGTCCCCAGGCCCTCTCCCAGACTTGTTCTCAGGGTCCCCAGGCCCTCTCCCAGACTTGTTCTCAGGGTCCCCAGGCCCTCTCCCAGACTTGTTCTCAGGGTCCCCAGGCCCTCTCCAGACTTGTTCTCAGGGTCCCCAGGCCCTCTCCCAGACTTGTTCTCAGGGTCCCCAGGCCCTCTCCCAGACTTGTTCTCAGGGTCCCCAGGCCCTCTCCCAGACTTGTTCTCAGGGTCCCCAGGCCCTCTCCCAGACTTGTTCTCAGGGTCCCCAGGCCCTCTCCCAGACTTGTTCTCAGGGTCCCCAGGCCCTCTCCCAGACTTGTTCTCAGGGTCCCCAGGCCCTCTCCCAGACTTGTTCTCAGGGTCCCCAGGCCCTCTCCCAGACTTGTTCTCAGGGTCCCCAGGCCCTCTCCCAGACTTGTTCTCAGGGTCCCCAGGCCCTCTCCCAGACTTGTTCTCAGGGTCCCCAGGCCCTCTCCCAGACTTGTTCTCAGGGTCCCCAGGCCCTCTCCCAGACTTGTTCTCAGGGTCCCCAGGCCCTCTCCCAGACTTGTTCTCAGGGTCCCCAGGCCCTCTCCCAGACTTGTTCTCAGGGTCCCCAGGCCCTCTCCCAGACTTGTTCTCAGGGTCCCCAGGCCCTCTCCCCAGACTTGTTCTCAGGGTCCCCAGGCCCTCTCCCAGACTTGTTCTCAGGGTCCCCAGGCCCTCTCCCAGACTTGTTCTCAGGGTCCCCAGGCCCTCTCCCAGACTTGTTCTCAGGGTCCCCAGGCCCTCTCCCAGACTTGTTCTCAGGGTCCTCCAGGCCTCTCCCCCAGACTTGTTCTCAGGGTCCCCAGGCCCTCTCCCAGACTTGTTCTCAGGGTCCCCAGGCCCTCTCCCAGACTTGTTCTCAGGGTCCCCAGGCCCTCTCCCAGACTTGTTCTCATGGTCCCCAGGCCCTCTCCCAGACTTGTTCTCAGGGTCCCCAGGCCCTCTCCCAGACTTGTTCTCAGGGTCCCCAGGCCCTCTCCCAGACTTGTTCTCAGGGTCCCCAGGCCCTCTCCCAGACTTGTTCTCAGGGTCCCCAGGCCCTCTCCCAGACTTGTTCTCAGGGTCCCCAGGCCCTCTCCCAGACTTGTTCTCAGGGTCCCCAGGCCCTCTCCCAGACTTGTTCTCAGGGTCCCCAGGCCCTCTCCCAGACTTGTTCTCAGGGTCCCCAGGCCCTCTCCCAGACTTGTTCTCAGGGTCCCCAGGCCCTCTCCCAGACTTGTTC